AGAGAGAGAGAGAGAGAGAGAGAGAGAGAGATGTACATACAATTTTATAATAAGTGCACACGTGGGCAGTGAATAGTTTACGATATGTATTTTGTTTAGGCAAAGGGTAACCGCACTCAGCCATCAATCGGTTAACGTGTGGCCAAAACTGCTTGCGATTGTCGACAAACGAGCCCAAAGTGTCGACAGTTTCGCCCACACAGCGACACAGTTGGGTAAATGTGGTCACATCTGTATCGGTAATCCCGGTGCACACCTGGTATAGAGCCTGTAGCTCCGGATTGACCATCGTTTTTGTGGCACCGATTGGCTGGTGTTGAGCGCTGTTTGAATGGGTCTTAGCGCTAGTTTTAGGGACTTTTCCTCTGACGCCCGGAGCAGTGGTGGCGGTCGGAAGGCGAGTGTCGGCACCGGTGGTTAATTTGTCGCCACATTTTTGAGCAAATAATCGCTTGAGTTTCATTAGGTCTTTGACATTAACGAGAAAATAGGGTACAAATGAGTGCATTGTGTCGAACAGAGGGTAAACGGTGGCCGCCGTCTCCCGGTTCGGACAGTTGGCCAAAGTCTGGTCGTAATAATAAAAATAAATGCAAATTAAATTATTGCAAATGTTATCAACATGATAAATTTAAAACACAAACTCACCTTTTTATACAAATCAAACGCGTTGTGAAAGTAATTCAAACACTTGTCGTAATGCCAGCCATCGAAACCACTTTTGGCCATCAGTTGGGGCACAACTTCCCGATAGTTTGCGCCGGCGTTTGCTTTCAATATCTGTATTAACTCAACGACCGGCCGGCGCTCGGCCTCCGGGAACTTCATACCCATCACCCATACAGTGGCCACACATACTGTATGCGTAGTGTAGGGCATGTGTGGGGAAGTGGCGGTTGTGGCAAAATCTGTCGCATTTAGTTCAACGTCCAGATAATTAATGGGCGCCGAGGGGTGAGAGCCGGGCCTTAATGGCTTGGGTTTACGAGCGAATGCGGGTTTGGGTGCTATCGCTCGAGAGGTCGGTGGACAGGGATGTGTCTGTCGCCCATCATTGGCGACACCAACAGCGAGTACTTTGGCGTTTGTATCGCTGCTATCGTTACGTGCGGTCACATCTATGGCACGTTTTTGAGTGGCCGGTCGGGCGCTGTCATCCCTGACCACCGCTTTCACCACAATTCCCGGCAATTTATGTGACAATTTTGGCGGCGATGGAGGCGGCGGTGATTGGGGTTCCGGTGCCGGCACTGAATCGCTATTACTCTCACTATTAGTGCACACACTTTGGGATGTGTTGTCGCCGGCAGTCGAGGCCTTCTTCTCCGCCTCCCTGTCCTCGTTATCATTCAACTCAACCAATACTTTCATTATTATGTCATTTAGTTTTGACTTTTGTGGCGAAACAATAAACAGCACTTTATTATAACCATTACATAACACGTGACAAAACAAACACACCTGGTCAATATTTGTAAGTATAAACTTGCATAAACTTGATCACAACTCAAGTTGAAATGAAAACAATAACAAAGTTGACTATCGTTTAAACTTTAAAGTTCACTATGACTTGTCACGTGCGTATATTGTTGATACCTAATACACATGCGCGGCTCTATTAGATACAGGTGAAATATTTGCCGCACATATTCAAAAATTATTAGACAGAAACATGCTAATATAATCATGTTAATTTTTATAAAAATTTAAGTAATAAATTATATATTTTCCCAATAATAAACTCTTATTAGTAACTCGCTGAATGTTGGCTAAAGAATTATATGTTGTACATTATTTGTGCACTTCTATTAGAATTAAATGTGGTAATTTTTGAATGAAGTACACTGTTCAGATGAATTTATTTATTTATAAATTTAACATTAAACTACAATTTAATTTTTTTAAAATAATATTTAAATTTTGACAATACGTGGAATCACATAATAATTACGTGTAGAGAGAGAGAGAGAGAGAGAGAGAGAGATTAACTATCACTTAACCTAATGTTTAATTCAATAGGCGTTGAAATACTTGCCAAACAATACGGACGCGATTTACCCGTATTTCTCAGTAATACATGCCATGGATTTGAGTCAATCATTATCAGAGAATTCATACAAAAAGATCCAATCAATACGCGCTGCACTGGATAGGGATAAGTCCGGTATAGCGGGTCCCGTAGTTGATAGGCCTGAGTATCGGCGGTATCGGAGACCAAAGGTATCGGACGCCGAGAGCCGGGAAATCACGCGCTTTTGGGAGTTGTTTGGGTCAAAGTGTGCGCCACTGAATCGGGACCCGATGTCTATTGAGTCAGTCAATGTTGAACAGAGAGCTCAGGGAGGGTCTGACCAAACAGCCGGTCCCATTAGCGCCGCCACTCCCACCGCAACCCCCGGCGCTCAACAACTTGAAAACATTTCAATAGCCGCTAAACAGACACCCAAAATAGTGATTGATATTGAGGCTAAAACGTTGGGAGAACCGGTATTAATTACCGTCCCGGTACCTGTCACGATCACCCCGGTCCGGGTTGACTCACGACCCGATATTGACTGGTGGGAACGGCCGGGCGATTGATATATTCAATGGGCGTTGAAATATTGTGCAAACTTTACCGCTTAACCCGTATTTGAGTTCATTATTAATCTATAAATATTGAATATTTAACACTAAAATTGTGTTTAAATGTCATTACATTACGTGTTCATTGATTAAGATAATTAACGTCTCCTTAAAATGTGTTAGATTTTATTATTATATGTCAATGGTTATAAATTATAATATTAGTAAATTTCTCTCTCTCTCTCTCTCTCTCTCTCAATACATACCATTGTATAATAACAAGTCACGTGGTCAGTGAACAACACACGCCATGGCATACCCCCAGGTTTGTGGTGACCGGACTCAGCCATCAATCGGTTCACATACGGCCAAAATCGATCACAATTCTTGACATACGGGCCCAAAGTGTGGGCAGTTTTACCCACACAACGGCACAGTTGGGTAAACATAAGTACATCACCCTGGGTGATATTGGCAACCACATCGCAAAAATCTTTCACCATGTTGGCCTTCCTGATATCCCTAGCACTCGCTTTTCGGTCACTAATAACATTATGGTCAACCCGTGGGCTATCAGTACAGGCGTTTACGGTTGACGTAATAGTTATTAAAGGGACATTTTCCGAGTGATTGCTCATGGTCAATGTCTGTGTCATTAATTAAAATCAACAATGTAATTTATTAATTAGACAAACAACTGAGTAATTTACCTGTGATATAGGTGTGGACACAGGTATGGTTGAGACGGTTTGATGGCCGGCGTCCGCCTCCCTGTCCACGAGTTTCATATGTTTTAACTCTTTGACCAAATTTGAGGCTAAATTTTGTGACATTTTTGGCGGCGATGGAGGGGTCGGTGATTGAGGTCGCGGTGGCGGTGGCGGCACAAGTTTGATGACAACAATAAATTATTGTCAATAACAGTCGAGTTTAAATCAAACATATAAACAACAAATAGAGAACAACGTGTTTATATTTATTGTGAAATAACAGGTTTTGGTGGTAGAAATTTTCAAAATTATCATGTGCACTTTGTTTACCACTAATAGACATGCGTGTGCTTACAAAACAGCTCTCTCTCTCTCTCTCTCTCTCTCTCTCTCTCTCTCAAAACTTAAATGTACCTAATTGATTAATACTTTTTAAATATATAAAATAATTTTTTATAACCAGGGTATGAATTAAAGCATTTTGTACACAAGACTCTCTCTCTCTCTCTCTCTTCTCATTTAAAAATACAGATACATTACAGAGGCATGTAAGTTTAATTTGTATATGATTAAACTACAATACTAAAATTAACCTTGAAATTCTAATTTATAAAAAAAGTTAATACTTTAAATAAATAAATCTGAAATAAAGATTTAAATATGTCTAGTTAAATATATTTAAAAAGTATTAATCAATTAGGTACATTTAAGTTTTGAGAGAGAGAGAGAGAGAGAGAGAGAGAGAGAGAAAGTCTTGTGTACAAAATGCTTTAATTCATACCCTGGTTATAAAAAATTATTTATAAATTAATTACTTACAAATTACTTATATTAAAAATTATGTGAATTAATTTAATCTATAAATTGCAAATAAAATGTTTATTATTTAATTAAATAAATCAATAATAGTATTAAATAATTACTTTCAATATTGGGTATGCGTTTGCACTGTCCGTCTCCGCCAAACCTCCAGCCATTGAATGGACACTGAATACAGTCGTCGCCCGACTCTGACTCAGTCACCACATGTCCGCCGACACCGAGATTTGCGCCCAAATGTGGACAATAGGCGGACAAACAGTGGACGACACCCGACGGGCCCCGGAATAGCACCAACTGTTGGCCGCATAGCTCTATGGCTTTCACTGTATTTATTGCCAGATCTCTCGATAACATTATCGGATTCCATGTGTTTGGGTATTGCAGTGATTCAATGTTGAAGTTATTATCATCATATATGGGCTATTATATATTATATGTGTCATGGTAAATAAACATTTAGAATTGGTTAAAACTTAATTCCATAATTATTTCCCTGATAGACCCTACGAAAGTGGTTCATAATTAGTTTTCCCACAAATTAAATGCATAGCAAATCAAGAGAATTAAAGGCAAATTCTCAAGTATTTATAAAGAAATCATTGCAATGATTAACTATAAGTACTTTATAATAAATTTTTTTTGTATATTTATTATATTTTACTAATAACAAATATGTGGGAAATTAATTATTAAATGGAGTCTCTATATCTCTATCTCTCTTCAATATATTTGGTAAAAATTTAGTAATATTTTAATTTTTAGATTACAAAATGTTTTACCTTGTATTCTTTTATATTTGATGAATAAAATAATTTATTAAACAAAATGAATAATATAATTAAAATGATAATATATTCAAACATTTTTGTTTTACTTATTTTATAAAATTATTTATTAACAACTTAATTTATTATGTATAATACAGATGTTATAAATGATTGCATCAATATACAAATCTGTTTTGAGGCTCTATAGTGCTGAACAATTAATTAATACCATAATTTCCCATAAGTTAAATTTTAAAATAAATTAACAATATTGTAAATAATACTGTGACCCAGTCCTCCAGCACAGGGAAAACAACTTAGCATAGAATAGTTGTGTATTTGTCTTATATAGACTAACTTTTTTACTTTTATTTTGTATTTTTTAATATGCTTGATCAATTAATACTTTTATATCCATGGTGTGACATTTATTTTAAATAGTATATAATTATTTACATGTCTACCAAATTCTAATAAATTACAACATTTCATTTATTTAAATTTTTTACATTATTAAAATATAAATTTATTTTAAATAGCTCAAGTTGTCACGCGATTTATATTTTATAATTATTGTAATTATTATAGCAAATTATCATGTTATTTTATATAATTTAAATGTTCATTGCATATACTTAAAACAAAACAATAGATATATTTTAGAAATATAAAATATAGTATATTTAATATACCATACATATAATTGACATTTATACCAGTTTATTATGTAAATCTAATTCAGTAAAGTATCAGTAAAGTAATAATATGATAATAATGAAAAAATTTTGAATAATTTCATTCTATAGACAAAATATCGTTAATTGCAATATAAAATATATTTTTAAAGAACATCCAACAGGGGCAAATAAATAATTTAATGATTAATAGATTATTTTCTAAAATGAAAGTTAACGAAAAAGTTAAATATGCTGATGCCTAACGCAAATGAATATAATTTGTAATTTTTGTAAAACACAATTTATTAAAAGTACAATCATGTTATTAGCCCTAATCCAGTCTATATTATTATTTTAATTGAATTACAATTCACTATAATTTAATTATCATGCATTTCAAAAATAGATATACTATTTCCAAAATAACACACAAGGTAGAGATTGTAAAACCTAAAAGCAATATAACAATTCCATTGCGAAATATGTCATCGATATTAATATTAATAAAATTTAAATTGTCTGATTTTAAAACATTTTTATGACCATCGTGCAGTTTATTTTCATTTGCGTTAATCAAACGTAAAATAATTTTGCAAATCATTGTGTGATGTTTATCTAGTCCAGACTCTGGTATACGTTTATAGCTAGATTAAATAAAATACAATTAATATCCATATAACTTAAATAAAATATATAATTTATAATTATTAAATAAACTACATACACAATAAGCAATTGTTTAGCATGTGAAAAGCTTTTCTTAATGACCATATATAAAAACATGTAGACATAACTGTTATCCGGCGATGATATAGAAAATTTATCACAAT